GCCGCACGGGGGACCTGCGGCGTCACGATGCTCCGTGCTGATAAAATGGCGACGTACGGCACGGGCCGCCTCAGCCCCAGGGAAGGGCACCGCCTCCGGAAGGTGGCGGCGGCGGGGAAGCGGCCCTCAGTGTGGCCAGCCGTGGCACCCCGGCGTTTGCGCCGGTGCCCTCTCGTGGGGCGGTGAGTTTAAGAGGCGGTGCTCACCCAGGTGAGGAGATCGTTAGGTAGCACCCAGTAGTAACGTAGATAATAGCAGCAGCAGTAGTCTAGTGTAGGTATTCCTAGGTAGTGCCCACCAGTAGTGTTTGTAGTAGCAATAATTACTCGACATCAGCTGAGTTTGGGCAAGGCCGTTGCCTCTTCCTTTAGAGGAGGTCATTGGGAATCACAGCACCTTCATGCCACTGTTGTTTCTCAGTATTTTTGTTGGCGTGGATTTGAGTAGTCACGGTGTTTTCTAGCAATAACCCATGGAACGCAAAGCTTGAGATCATTTTGAGGTACCTGTTGGGTGAAGATAATGCAGATTTAAATTCTTGCCTATTTTGCTGATCAGGCAGGCCTAAGCAGCTTCTAAAGAATGGATTCTTTTGTTTGAAGACATGAGTGACTGCTCACCTTTAAATAAACCATAAAGCTATGTTTTCATGCGCTGTGACGTGTTTTTCCCTTTTTTTTTTACTGTAAATGCCAATTGTAATGGATGTTTATTTGTTTTTCTTCTCTTCAGAGGACAAGGAATTAGTCTAGATGCAGTAAATCACAGGAGATGGAAGAAAGGAAAATCAAGAGGAGGAGCCCCAAGTCATCTACCAGTCACCCTGCTCAGGTTGCTAACTCCAAGAAAAGCTCAGTGCCAGTCAGTAAAAGTACAGCCTTTTCCAATCCTGCCCCCCAGCCTGTGGTGCAGAAACCGAAGTTAAAACGGTAAGTTTGGGAGCACCTTTCGAGCTCGGTGGAAGTGTGAGCCAGAAACCTGCCAGTGCTCAGGCAGGTGAATGGCTGTTGAGACTGGCTGAGACAGAATGAAAAGAAAGGGCTTTGCACTCTGAAAATCTGTGTTGGTGTGCCTTTGCTAGCAAAGCGATTTGTGTTTAATGCAATATAATGGTTATTTTAGAGAAGAGGAAGGTGCTTGATATGATTTGGGGATGAAAATCCCCCAATATCGGCAAATTTGGGATGAAGACAGCCCCTTGAAGGAATTGCGTTAGGCTAGGATGCAGTCTGTCTGTCTATCCGCCTCTGGGTCAGAGGTGGAATATGCTGCTTCTCACTGGTAATTATGTGATCAGCTTCCATATCAGTTGTGGGTTAATTTGGATTTATGACAATTATTACATTATGACATTTTAATCCGTGTAGTTTCTACTGGCACATGATGTTCTGAATGAAATTTATGTCTTGGGGGAGGGGAAAAAAAGTATGTGATTCAGGAGTTTTGATGGTTTTGTTGCAGAGGGTGCTGTAGAGGATTTTTAGCACATTTAACATTTATTTGGGCATGGACTAGTTTCATTTGGCATGTATTAGAGCACAGGGAAATTGCTCTTGGTGGTGAGTTCTACAAAACTGGAATGTTATTTGAAGGTAGGAAGAAGGAGCTCTAGGAAAACTGATCTGGAGGCAAAGATCAAATTCCTGTATCAGAACAAGTGCTACACACGGGTTGCAGTCTGTAGGTGTTTGTGACAATGGGAGTGTGTAACTGCTGAGGGTTTTTCTCTCTGGCTTAAAGTTTGCAGGTGCTTTTTGGGGTGATTTTATGTAGAAAATGCCTCATACACCGTGTGTCATTGCTGGGTGATAGTGCTCTGTGGATAATTGGGATGGCCATTACGTACATGTGCTCCACTGTTTCCTGCTATTAGTAGGAAATCAGATTGTTGGAATTCTTCATTCTGCAGTATCCAGCTGTAAGCTAGTGATGTTGTACTTTACTGAAACTTAAGACAAACGAGTAATCTGTTCTTTTAAGTTAAAAGGATTGAAATATGTATTTTATATTTTCAATTTAATTGCCAAGCCTAGAGGTACACTTATGTTCATTTCAGATTTTCAATGAAAGCGGGAAGTAATTTTTTAATTTTTTTTTTTTTTTTTTCCAGAGCAATAAAAGAGAAAGCCAAACCTCCAGGAGGGGAAGCAAAAGGGGCACAGGCAGCACCAATCCAGCATTCTTTTCTCACAGACGTATCAGATGTCCAGGAAATGGAAAGGGGACTTCTGAGTCTCCTGAACGATTTCCACTCGGGCAAACTTCAGGCGTTTGGTAAATGCATGAATTGTCTGTATACAAGAATTGATTTTATAGCTGTACGATGGTAACATCTGCAAAGGAGTGTGTGGTGTGGACAGACTGCAGGTTTGTCATGCTGCACTCTGTCATATGAATGAACTTCAACATAATGAATAGATCCTATTGTGTTTTTAAATTAACAGCCCTATTGTAAGGGCGTCTGTGGTGTAAGATGATTCAAATGCCATTTCAGTGTGCCTTCCAGCATGGTTTATTAAAGGCAGTACATTGGCTTATAGATTTAAGATACAAAGTTTAAAGCCACTTGTTTATGATAGTATAGGAATAAGAAGTAACTGTGTTATTTAGCACCTGATTTTGCTGCGTGCTAACACTTAAGACTGTTGGTAACAACCTTTATGGAATGCAAGTTGGATTGCACCCAGCTTACTCTCCTGTCTTATTATCTTACTGCTGCACAGCTGATGGAGGTTTCATCAAAACCAGGATGCTCTTCTGCTTCCTTTTTTCCTCTGTACTGAGTAGAAAGATACATACGTGCTTTTGCAAGTTCAGCGTTAGGTCAGCACATCGCATTAATTCCACACCGATTTTACATAATACAGACTTTTCACATGCTCTTGTGAAGTGTCAGTTACAAGAAAGAAACCAACAAGACTAATCAGAATTGAAAAGTTTTTTTTTTTAACTTTTAAATATGATCCAAATAACAGGGCCTTCCTGAATTGGAGAGAAATTTGGGAAAAACAAACAAACAACAACTTATCTTCTAAAAACCTGGTAGTATATTTAGTAGTTATTTTAAGTTCTGTACAATGTAACACCAGACAGGATAACAAACTTCAGTAATGAAACAGGGAGAAATCATTGAGAAAGCAAATTAACTTGTCATTTTGATGTTTAAATTCCTCTTTTCTGGTGTAAAAAGCTGCATCTTTGCAGCTTGGTTTGCTCTTCCATGTTTCTTTATCTCAAGCTGTTGCTCGTCCTTTTAGGAAACGAATGTTCCATCGAGCAGATGGAGCACGTGCGGAGCATGCAGGAGAAACTCGCTCGCCTCAATCTGGAGCTCTATGGGGAGCTGGAAGAACTCCCCGAAGATAAAAGGAAACTCGCCAGTGACTCCAACCTGGACAGGCTGCTGTCAGATGTGAGTCCTGCGGAGGCAGAACACAGGGAACTCGAGAACAATGCTGCTGGGTGGGCAGGGATTTACAGTTGAGGAGAACCTGGTTCTGTAATGAACTAAGACATAAACCCTGCCCTCATTTTTGTTTTGAGAAAACGGTGCCATGGGTTTTGTGGTGGTGTTTGGTTTGGTTTTGGTTTTATTTTTTTTTAAATAGGTGGCTGCTGCTTGTTGTGGTGAGTGGAGCAGTGTAACTGTAAAATGTCTGAGGATGTAAGCCTGTGTAGGGACAGCCATTTTCTCTGTGGTCTGTCCCCCTGCATTTGGGGAAGACCACAAATGGCAAGGAGTTTTTAGGTTTGTCCGTTCTACACTCTTAAAAAAATTCTTTCTCTAGTGTGTTTCCGTAAACCTCCAAACTGTTAAAATTTCTTTGAATTTCCTGAGATTGGAGGACTTAATTTGGGATTTAGCTCAGATGGTGTAGAATTCAGCACAGGTTTGCTTTGCTTTTTGTAATAAAATCATACGTTTCAGCCCAAACTATTATTGATTTCCTTCATTGCTTAAATGTATATAATTTCCTCTGTCAGCATAATTGTTGCCTTTGACTAACTGAAATGCCATTGCTGATACCTTCTACATTTGTATTGCAGCTAGAAGAACTGAATTCATCTATGTATCCTTTTTCTTAAATGTCTGTTTTGCATTATAGTTAACTGTAATCAAATCACAGTATATTTACAGAGTAACTGGTGTCTTTACAGGAGTCAAATTGCTTCAATAACCTTCTTTCTCTTAAATTGATACTGCAATTTAAGCGTGGATTTTAGATTCTTCTAATATATAAATGAGTGGATCTTAACACTGGGTTACAGGTTGCTTTTTAATATGCTGACATATCTAACTGGCATGTGCCATTTCAGACAGGGTATTGACAGCTGACGGCAAAGCCCATGGGAAGGAGGGTCTTGCTGGGACATCCTGGGACAAACATACCTAGTAATGTCCCCTTGGTAGTATTCAGAAGAGAAAGCTGAGTGTCTTAGCTCATCGACAGTAGGAGGTAAAAGCTGAGGCCACAGCTGAGGGGCAGTGCCCTCAGCTGGCACCGCAGTGGAGTTACTCTGAGGTGGCAGGGAGGTGGGACTCGGGTCTGGGACGTCAGGTGCTGCACTGGTACAGATGTCCTCTGTGTCCCTGGAAGGCTGTTTAAGGCCAGGTCCCAAGAAGAACACAAATGGAATGTGATGATAATAATATCACATAATAGTGATGAAAATGATCTGCCACCCTCCTTGATCTGCCAGCTGATTCTGGAGGTGTGTAATGCTCAGTTGTTAGGGAGGAAGACTTGTTTGCCTGTTGAGAACTAGCATGGGGCTCAGGACCGCTGAATTCACCTGGCTGGGTGTGTACCTGTCACAGGACTAACAACCCTATCTTGTTTATACCTTATCTGTGTGTCAGAATGTTATTCCTTAATGGTTTGTTTCAGCCAAAAACTACATTTAGCAGATGCTCAAGATATTCCAAATGGTGCCACGGGCTGAAAGAACAGCTTTGTCACTTTGGATTCTTCCAGAAGTTTTTCTTGTTTACCTGACAGTGGAATCTGGAACAGTTGTGGTTTTGTGGTTGGCGAGTTTTTGTTGGTTTTTTTTTTTTTTTTTTTTAAATTATGCACAGTGAAGAATCAAAGTGCAAATCAAAGTGTTTATTTTTTGCACATTGCTCTTTGAGCACTGCATTATGTCAGGACTCAATATCTAGAGTTTTAAGTAGGTTATGGTGGTTCTATGCTTTTTGTTATTGCCTTATTTAATAGAAAAATCGGGGAAACGTGGAATTACCTCTCTTCTGCTCAGTGTTGTTATGTTTGAACAAGATGTCAGCTCACTAGCATTCCTCCAGGTTTTATGCAGGTAGAGATGACATTGCCTTTCTGATCAGAATGTAGACAATCTGCATGGTATATCTTTAGTGTTTTGTTGATTGGTGATGCCACAGATTAATTTATTGCTAATAAAGTAACACATTTTAGATATAATGTTCCATTTAGAGAAGTTGCTATCTGTTCAGCTGTCTTAGGAAGAGTTCTTGCATGGACTGAATGTTTGCAGAGTTTACTCTTTCAATTACTGTGAATCATTATAAAATGTCACTAAATTAGAATGAGCATGCACGCTAGCGGTCCTCCTGATTAAGTATTATGAAATTCCAAAGTTTGGTAAAGACTATATGCAGTTTCATAGTTATTCCTATGTTAATAAGTAGTCTGGTATTAATTGGTATCACCTCTGTTTACAGGGGGAGGGGGGGGGAAATTGTATTGGTGTAAAATCAGGCATGGTTTAAATCCAAAATCCGTCTTGGCCCATCAAACTATGCCTTTGGTTCTAGATGTAGGTAATGCATTCAGATTCTGTGTACTTACTGCACAAGGAATTAAATCTTTATCCTCCTGCTTGAGTGAGCAGCCTCTGGGCAGGGAACCAAAGCCGCCTGTGCACGTCACCTTTGGAGAAGATGCTTCCCTGGCCTCAGAGACGTCGTGGTGGGTGTCCCTGGCTGCAGCCCCGTTGTGACGCGCAGGCCGGGCCGCAGCGAGCCTTTGGACACTGCCGTGCTGCGGCGGCAGGCCCCGCCTCCAGCGCCTTTCTCCTTGCTCCCTGCCTCGCCGCCCGGCTGCTCTCGCCGACTGAGGAAGCCGGAGGGATCCCAGCTGGGCTCTTCCTTCAGGACGTTCTTGTTCTTCACACCATCTATCGCTTTTTGTTGCTGAGATTTCTTTAGGAGTTTTGCACGCTGGTAAAAGAACCTCAATGTCCCAGCCTGCTGCTGGGTACGTACCTGTGATGTGAAATTCAAAGACAGCTTAGGAGAGTAGACTACAACAGCAGGTACCCTTTTTGGCACAGCAGCTTCTCACTGTCAGCACTAGAGCCTTCTTTCTGTGCAGGCTTCTGAACATCAAGCAAAAAAGCAGCCTCATGTTTTTGCCTCATGCCTCAAATGGTAGAGGTGTGAGGCTTCTTACAGGGGCAAGTGCCAGTAGTAGAGCTGCAAGCACACAAGCAAAATCATGTTCTTGCAGCTCAGCGTGGCTCAGGAGGAGACCTCTACCCTCACTAGGAATGTGTTGTCAGTGCAGTACTTTGCAGTGTTGTAATGCTTTTAACCAGTAGTTTTCATAGTTTAAGATATTCTGCAGTAGAGATCTAACTTGGCTTAGGCTTATGACTTCAAACACATTTCAAATAACTTACAAATGTGTGGTCTGTTGGATGTCTTCCTATATAAATTTCTGTAGCAAGTTTTGCAAATATATAAAGCACTGGTATAATTTGAGATAGGGACATAAATCACTTTCTCATGGCTGTTTAGAATTGTACAAAAATTAGCAGCTCTTTCTTCAATGACCTGAAGCCCACAGGCGATCACAAGTCACAAAGAATGTATTAATTGTAAATAGTTAAGGAATAAAAAATACCTCCTGGATATAAATTTGTGTCTTTTATGCAATCAATTAATAGCATATGTCCTTATTATCTTTGGGACTCATACAAAGAAAGTTTTGTAGCAAGGTCTTTGAGAGACTGAGCTTCTTGTCAGGTAGTAATAAAAGTATGACATTTTGAGGCTCTCTCAGGAAAAGGAAAAAATCAGCTAACAATTGTGGACAGTCTTTTGTAATTATAAAAGTACATTAGTAGCTGTGGAAAATGAGATCCTTTGCTGTTAACCTTGTTTCCTGGAGAGTTGCTTGTGGAGATAAAAGTGTATTAACACTGGATGTTTCCAGGCCTGAACTCACACTGATAAATAGATATGGTGTTTGAAAGAAGATTCTTTCCTAGATTGTTCACTCCCAGAGACATCTGTGGAACCTCAATGAACTAAAAAATCAGGAAGAAAAGCTAACAGGAAAGTATCTAAGAAAAGAGGATTTGGAAGAGATGAGAGTCAGTGCTATTAAATTTAACTGTCTCTTTGAAAATAGCCAGACAAATTAAGGCAGACATCTTCTGTTTGGGAAATATACTGAACTCTAAAAGTAAGTTTCAACATAACGGTAAGGATTATTTTTTTTGCCCCCACTGAGTTCAAGTGGCAGCTGTATACAAATGCTAACACGTCCATGCTGACACGTTCTTCACTGACTGTAAAACACAACCTGCTTGCTGAACAGTAACACATTCAGGTCAGGAGGCCCTGAGAAATCCATTTGTTACTTCAGAAATGGAAAAATGCTGCCTCACTTTCCTCTTCCAAAAACCAGGATGGTTTTGTGTTTTTTTTTTTTTTCAAAGACATGTTAATGATTTTTGCATTAATTACACTCTAATCTTTCACATTACAAATGAAGGAAATCAGACATTTCTCATAAAAGGCACTAAACCTCAACTCTTGCCCAAGGAAGCAGATGTGGGACTGCTTTGTCCACATAAAGTCTCAAGCTTCTTACAATAAGTCAAAACTTTTGACATGGATAACTTCCCCAAGGATTCGATAACTGCCAACTAGTGTAGGTCACTAACGGGTGCACTGAAGGAACTTTTTTCCTAGAGATGAGCTTATCCTGTCACAGGGAGGCTGGACACAGGGTTCACATCTCTAAAATGAAGATGGCAGCCAAATTTGGGCTAGACTGATGAGGATGTGAGCAGGTGTACTGTGCGTTAGGGTTGTTTCTTCTCCATGCACTTGCGGTCACATCTGGCACTTCATGACAAGTGTCACATCTGTGAATCAGTTCTGTCTGTGTGCAAACCCTGAGTTCAGGATTACTAATAAAGAACATGGTTTAACCAGCAATACTGGAAATTAATTCCTTTATAATTATAATTACATTAACTTTCAGTGACCTATGCATTGTGTAATCTTACCATCATCACACAACAAGAGCTTTATTTATCACAGGCCACTCACTATAAAAGGATCAGAATATTTCACATGACCACGCATGCACCAAATCCTCACCTGGCTGCCCAGAAGCAGCACGCAGCGTGAAACACAGCAGCAAGGAGACATCATCAGAGCAGGCCCCTCGTAACAGCCGTGCTGTAAACAGAGAGAAGACACCTTCATTAGACCTGCATCAGTAAAGCAGAACCACCTCACACAGTCTGAGGTTTCACCTGGCTCAGGGTGAGGAGCTGTGACAGTTGTTAACAGTAAGTGCAAACGAGCTGCAGACCAGCCAGCACGTTTTAACTCGTAGGTGCCAGCTTAGGAAGACTTCATGCTAGTTGCACATTTGCTCCCTTGCTCTTGAGCATGTGCCAGCATTGCTGTACTATATTTCACAATTTCTTTAAAACTGTTCAAAGCTCACAGGAAAAAAAAAAATAAAGCTGTCCCAAATCACACCTCCTCAGCTCTGCTTTTGGAGAAACAAAGGATAAATCTTTTTTAATATTTCAGTAGAGAAACTGGTTGTATAACTCTAAAAAACAATGCTACAGATACTTAAGCTACTGGAGATAATTTCAACACAAAGGCATAAGGCAGCTCTCAGAACACAATGACTGATTGGGGTAACAGAGCATACTGCACGTAAATAGCACCAAAAAAATGCAAATACCTGTGCTCACAGGATTTGGGTTTTGGTGCGCAAACACCTTGGAGGAGCTCAGCTCCCCTCTTCAGCCTAATGAAGCAGCTGACTCAGCTTTGCCTTCTGAGGCAGCAGTGAGTGTTGTCTTCTGTGCCAGAAGCACGTGCAGTAGGTGGCACCATAAATTCCACTTTAGTTTTGTGGAAACATGAGAGTTTTATCCAAAACATGTGACTGAAATTTGAAGTTGGCCAGAGCCTTGGTTTCTGAGACAAGTCTTTTAAGTTCAAGGCTGGCTTGAAACAATTGTTCTGAGCAGCTCATGTAACTACATAAGTAGATCTAATTTAAACCTCTAGCCAGGGGTTCAGAATGGCACACAAACACAAGCCAGCAGTCCCCTGGAAGCAGCCAGGCACTGGAGAGGTTGCTAGTCTGAAACGGGAAACGTGATCACCGTTTTGTAATTTTTGTCACATGCATTTGAAAATGTAGCCCCCTGGGCTAAATCTACCTCGGGAGAAGATAGAGTTGTGCCCAGTGTGGGTTTACAAGGAAAACTATTACCAGTAATTTGTACTTTACAAACATCAAAAGCATGTTTTTAAACTCCCTTTTCCTCATATGACAACAGCACTGGAAAAGGTTTTCTCTGCCACCAGACCCACAGACAAATGGTACAAAACCAGAGGGGACTGAGCTGCCGAAATTTATAAATCTGCAGTGCCACGTTATTAGGTAATGAAGTTGGGTTTTCTGCCAGAAAAGTTTGGTCTCCAATAGCAAATACAAAGCTTGTGCCAACCGAACACACTAGTACTGCTGCAGAGGTATGTAACTTAAGAGCCACTGCTGAGCTGGACCAGGAGTAGAACCACCACTCTAAAGGTCCCCCAAATGTTTCAGAAACATTTTCAAGCCTCCAAAATTATGCATGCTGGGAAAAAATCCAGCCTGGCAGGGCTGTAACCTTGCATGTTTGGGCAGCAATTACTCCACTCGCTCTGCCTAATGAAAAAGTCTAACAAATAGCAGCAGGCTGTGCCAGCAAGAGGTTTTTAAAGCACAAAATATGTTGGGTTCTGGAAAATAATGCTACAGCATTCATTTTTAAAATCCTTAAGTTTGTTTTTTCAAGCTTCTTTATTAAATTAGGCATTTATATTGTCATTTTGAAAGGTGTGTAAAAATGGGAAACCCTCAAATAGAGCATGGAGCAGAAGTTGTCCCTTCTTACCATCCAACATTTCAACATGAACATCAGACCTCTTTTGCATGGATGTATGTTTAGACTGGCAAGCAGTGTCTTCACAGAGTTTGAAAAATATTTTAAAGATGCAAACATTAAAACAGCTCCCTCTGTATCAGGACAGTATCAGGGAAATAATTTTTTTGTCTCTAATCTCCATCTCACTTCAGATTCAGCTCTGTAAAATAACATGCTTCTGCAACAGCACGGATGTTTTAGGAGGAGGGAACCCAACCAGCCACTGCTCGAGTCCCTTACAGAGCCTGTACGTGCTCTGGCACCACCTGCTCTAGATCTTACATTGCATCACTCTAGTGGAACCACTTCACATCACTGTGCAGAAACACCACGTCCCTGTAGACTTTTCGTGGTTTCTGTGTCTGCAGTAGTGACGTGATGACACTATGGTGACTCCACTAAAGATGGAAAGCCCAGGGTAGGTGACAAAGCCCCTCCACCCCAAGGTAGGCTGGCGTTGGGCAAAAGGCTGGGAGAGGACACAGCCAGGACAGACGACCCCAACTGACCGAAGGGATGTTCCTGACGTGAGCAACAAAAGCTTAGGGAAAGGAGGAGGAAGGGGATGGGTGTTTGTGGTTATAGCATTTGTCTTACCAAGCAACTGCCATCTGTGCAGAGTTCCTGCTTTCCTGGAAATGGCTGAACACCTGCCAGCTGATGGGAAGTCATGAGTGACACAGAGCAAGAGCTGTAACAGACTTTAGGTGAGAGGTTAGTTGAACTTGGTCACATAAAATTAATACAAGTAAAACAGTATTTCTTAATACCTTGAGGAAACAATAGCTTATTTACTTCAGTATCTGCTCTCACATTAGCAGCTGTGGTTTATATATCCAAGTCAACACTGTGTAAATACACAGATGATTGTCCCTGGCTGCGATGCCAAGGCATTCCTTTCCTCCTCCATAGGCTGGAACCCTTATCAGCAGTGTCTCGTGATAAGTAGCTGCTGAATACAGAACCTACTTGCAGAGACTGCCTGCTATTGCTTACAGTGTTTTTTCCCTTCTGGTCAGAGGGTCAGTCAATAAAAACTGACCAAGTACAAAGATAATTCTCCAGGCTGCCAAGCTAGGAGACAAGAAGAGAGCAAAGGGTTCTCAGCTGGCAGCTCTCACTACTTTTCTGTACAAAAAGCCTTAAGTGAAATCAAGCCTGAATTCCTGGGCAAGCAAACTCACATTTTTCCTTTTAAAACTACTAACATGATGAAATATTCCAAAAGGCACCTGCCTGCTCCCCAGTGAATGGCATACTTTAGGTATATCCTTTGACTGATGATCTTGTTCTTAGACCCAGTGCATGATGTATGGATCTGGAAGAACAATAAAAATGAGAGCTCCAGTGCATAACCTACAGCCAAGAAAATCAGTTTTAAATTAATACTTCTCCCAATGATCTCTCTCAACTAGGTTTTGAAAAAGTGACACACTTTCTATGCTATTTACTAAGGAATTAGGGTTGACCACATTTAATACAATAAATATTAATTTCCTGTAACAACAGCATGCTTTACAATTTGTTTAAACAGGGCTTGGATCCTGGAATAACTGCAGATCTCTATATAGTGCTACTTGGTTCTTTAAATAGGGTCAGTTTAGTTTTGATTATTTTAAGCTTGATTTTTAATTTTGACCCCAAACAAGGTTTATAAAAGCTCTTGCACTGCCGATTTTTGAGTAGCCAATCAATTGATTAGAATGCTTCAGTTTTCAAAGTCCTAAAATAACTAGTCTATTAACATGGAACAATTTTTGATAAGAATAGTGTCACTAATTTAGCTCTTAAAACTTTAGTAATTTCCCTTCAGTTTTGACTATGAATCTGCAAGTTGTTAAAGCCTCATCAACCACTTCTAACACATGCAAATAGATGAAGAATCCAAACGAGCAGAGCTCAGTTTTGTGAACTCTTCAACATAAACATTTAGGAGTCACTATGTACAGTACTGGGACCAGGACTGTGTGATTTATCCAGCTATGTGTCACTGACTCATTCATAGCTAAAGCCATCACCTTATTGTTGGCTAATGAAGAAAACCAATTAGCATTTGCTTTTTTTCCCTCGCTGCAGTACTCAGAAATGGTCCCTGCATGGAGCATGACTTGGTCCGTGCCTTCGCTCTCTTCCGTGGAATGCGTGCCCAGGGGCTGGCTGGTCACCTAATCCACCCACCTGCCAGTTCTCGGGGTTTAGCTCCAGCGCCTGTTTTGGGTCAAATCCATGTTAGACGGTCACGGTGCGTTCTGAAAGGACACGGACACCTCTGTCAGAACGCTGCCCAGACTGGAGCGGCGCCCGAGCGAAGCACGGCCTGCCGTGGGGCTCTTCCCGGAAAAGGAGGCTGGAGGATGCGTGAGCCAAGTTCATGCCTCGTAACTAAAGGCTGCCACGCAGGGTGGGTGAATTCAGGCACTTAAACAGCCAGGGCTGCAGAGCCTTAAAAGCATTTTCTCAGGAGTTTGTTACTGCACTGAGTCTGATTGCATTGCTAATACCTACTTCAAAAGCTCTTGCCAGAATCGTTACAATCTTCGTAACACATATTTAAGAATTCTGCCAGCCAAAAAAGCTGACAAACTCCACTAGCTAGACCAATGAATAATTTTTTAAAGCTTAATGCAAGTAAAAACTTCAAACAATGTTTTTCCTACTCAAATGCAAAAAGGCTCCTATTAATTCTTAGACATGTCACAGAAAATAAGGTATCTCCAAATTGCAGGATGAGCAAGAACAACATTAAGTGATCAGATATACTCTGTAAACAGTGAAATTATTTTATATTGTTTTCTATATATTTTTAAGTCACACACTTACTATATAAATGCAGAAGATGAAAAGGACCAGGAAGATAGACATGGAAATGCACATACCAGTATTTCTGTAACAAGTGCTCCTTTTTGCTAAGCAGGTGCCTAGGAAACATTTTTATTTTGGAATTTGTAAGCAGAACTTAAGAGCCGAATGCCTCAAGGAATAAGTAATTTTGATTTGTGTGCTTTTAACAACAAAAAAACCATCACATGAAATCAATTCTCTGTTTTTCTCCTCCTGTGATTAAAAGAAAAAACATCTATAGATATTATGGAGCAGGAAAAAAAAAACAGGCTTTTAAATAATTTCATTTTTTTTATGCAGTATTTACTTTGTGAAGAACAAGCTTTTTTTGAGGATCTTTGCAGTAACGGGATAATTTTATCTGAATAACTGCAGAACAACTTTTCAATTATGAGGCCATCATCCTTATGTCTTACAATTGTGCAAGTGTTCAATTTTTTTTTTTTTCTTCTTCTCAAGCTGTGTAAAGCAATTCTCCTATTTTATCCCCTTAGTGTAGTGTTCTAAACCTCCATCACTCACAGACCATCTATTTTAAAGTTCCTGTCTGAAAGAGCTAACTGGGATTTTAGGATGAAGACACAGGAGGCACATGATCCAACCTCACCAGGGAGCTGCTGCCAAGTGAGAGGAGCTATGTAAGAATACCGGAAATTGTGAACAAGGTTTGTTTTATTCCATGGAGAGCAGCATCCGAAGCCATGTTAATGTTGGAGCAATCCTCTCTGGTAACACACACTCTTAAACCTGACTAAACATGCCCATTTAACCAAGACAAGCGAGCAAGAACCTGCTCCAAAGAGCTGCTGCAGGAGCACCTGTTTTCTCCAGTGACTGTAAGCTATGGTGCTGTGTGGGGCACTGGACTCAACTTGGAGCTGTTACTCCAGTTTTGTTCATTCTGCTGTTGGCTTTTCACACTCCTGACCCTGGAAGGTTGTTTTTCTTCTCTTTAATGACTATCTCTAGCAACAAAAGGTAACACAACTCAAGAGCTCTAATGTATCAGGAACGGCTGTGGCTCGGATTCTCCAGTGAGATCCGACGTGGCAGACTTCCATATTAGCACTGAACTTTGCTGAAACAAGGCTTTACACAGAGACTTGTGGCACACTTCCATGAAAGCTGTAAATCTCTCTATTCCAAGTCAAAAAAAACCTCTCCACGTGATATTTCTAATGGCTGATATTAGGTCTCAATCTTGAACCGCAAAAAGTTCATCACTGTAACACAAGCTTTCCCCCTCCTATTTTGAAACGCCAAGATCAGTACAAGACCTCCAATGTACGGGTCTTCCATAGTATTAAAACAACAAAAACTAGATTATTAAATAACTGAGAACAAACTTAAGTTTTCTCACGTACTGGAAGGCTGTGAACAGAGTGAATGAAAGAAAAAGCATAGTTTGCAAATAATCTGAGCAGGCTGAATCAGTGAAGTATTGTAGCACTAAGCCAAAGGCCAAAGTATTGAAAAGACTGAAAATTTCAAAATACTAGAAGAACTACAGTCTAAACAGTTAAGCATGTAAAAATACAAGAAACATTTATACGGAACCCTAAACATTGCAGTGCACCTGTGAAAGAAAACAGAGGTATGTTAGAAGAAAACAAAAATCAGCATTCCAGGTTAAAACCATTCAGACTACAATTACAACAAATCAAAAAAAAAAAAAGCCTGAATTTGTGTCAGGGTTTTTAATCTAGTTTAATGTAAAATAAACCCCACAAAAACTACACTTAAAAAGTAAGCATTTCTAATTTTAAGAGCTGGCAACTCAGCTGGTTCAAAATGTCACCCTGGCAGATCAACTTTCACTGGTTTTACAATAAAGAATATGCAATCTAGTTGAGAAGTGTTTTTCTTACTTTCTACAGGCTAAAAGTTATAAGCATCTTAATACTTTCAGAGCTGCAGTAAGGGGTTGAATAGGCTACCAAATCAAACAAGGTCCGAGGTCAAAGCTGTACATTTATAAGGTGTGTTGAATTCACAGAGACCCTGAGGATCTTAAAAATAAAACCAGAAACCTCTCACCAGGTTACCTCCTAATTCAAGAATGAAAAAGAGTAACTAGTCTTAATACAACAAACACATGCCAAGCACTAGTCTAGAAAGAGAAAGGCTGGAAATGTTTTCAGGTTAGTAAAATTGGATTTTAAAAGTTTTAAAAGTGCAACTAACTTGGCTTATATTTTACAGGACAATGATTTCTTTTGTTCTCATTTAAAACCTAGGCAGGTTTTAGGTATTCTGACAGAAATATTTCCAGATTAAAGTCAGCTCAGACCTTAAGCAAATTAAGTTCATTCTACCCCTTCAAACATGTACAGACTTCTTCAGCAACATGATTTATCCTGCAGACTCGGTAGTTTGCAGGGTAAAGTTGAGATCAACAACAGAAGTCCACATTCATCATGCTGGAAATGAAAAGTAACTTCTCACAGCTTGTTTGATAGAAGAGTTATAGTTTCAATGAATGTTTGATTCCACAGGTTCCCATGACAATTTCCTAAAGACAACTACAAGCAGATTATAAACTTATATGAAACAAGAATTTTGTCTTAAGACTAAGTGACTTTATGAAACTTCACAAGAACTACATGTACTGTACTACAAGTTTACATCAGGTTGTATTTTCACCATAAGGTTTCAGGAATGCGCTTAAAACACAGACTTGCTCAGCGACAAAGCAGCACATGTACAACTTCACATGTCTGCTGGTAAATGTGTATGCCTGAGTGGGGAGAACACAGAAATTCACGTGACTCAAAGTTTCACTCAGTAAGTCCATTTTTAAGTTACCAGCTTCATCATCCAAAGATGTGGATGCAGCATAAATACTGCAAATCTCAACCCTGTTCCTAATTTAAGCAGACTAGATAAATACGTGTTCAGACGTACAGTTAAGCACACAGTAACAAGTACCCGAGCTGCACAACAGCACTGCAGCTATTGAGGCTGCTACGGAGCTGCAAGCTTCCATCAGAGCCAGCATTCCATCCATTGGGCCCCATTTTTCTCTCATCCTTACTGTTAAAGTGTGAGGACACAAATATAAAATAATACCTAAAATATACATCATAATGCCATCTACATCAAAATTTTAAGCCTAGAATTCTAGCTTGGAATCCACATCATCATTTCAGTTCTTTTTTTAGCAGTACTTTGTATTTATTCAGGTCAGGAGAGTCTTGAGTTGTGACAGTTAAAATGCAACCCCATTTAAAATCAATGAACAAAATATTTTTCCACAAG